GATTAATGGTTGATTTTAAAGCTAAGGGGCGTTTCCTGTTCATTTTCTTATTCTTTTTCTTTATTTCTTTATTTTCTTATATTATGTAATGTTAAAGGACATAGATTTTCTTGTGTATATGTTTAAGTATTAAGTATAACATCAATAACCAACAGCATTTGTTAAAGTGTATATTTTAAGTTATTTTCCAAAACTCTGCTCAAGATGCATCAAAAATAGTTAGCAAATTTTAAGGTACTATAAACCTGTGTTGTTGTTTATCATAGAATATTGAGAGAAAATTTAAGAAATCATTTCACTCTATTTTTTGAGCTTTGAAGGTTTTCACCTAAAAACTACCTTGGAAAAAATGTTATCTATTTTATTATGAAAGTTCTCTTGGGAAATAGATCATATCAGAATGTACATCACAGGGTTTTAGATAGATAAACCTTCAGTAGAGCTGGGATTAAAATACATCTTTTTTTCTTAAATGTTTCATGATTTTTTTCAAACATCAGAAATTTTTTTTTTGCTATAAGAACCATTTTGTCTGGCTCGGCACCTGCAGCTCAGTGGCTGGGGCGCCAACTCCATACACTGGATCTGGCAGGCTCGAACCCAGACCGGGCCTGCCAAACAACAGTGACACCTATAACCAAAAAATAGCCGGACATGGTAGCGGGCACCTGTAGTCCCAGCTACTTGGGAGGCTGAGGCAGGAGAATCGCTTGAGCCCAAGAATTTGAGTTTGCTATGAGCTGTGATGCCACAGCACTCTACCGAGGGCAACATAATAAGATTCCGTGTCCACCCCCCCCCCACCAAAAGAAAACCTTTTTGTCTTTGTGGTGACTTACGAATTAGGCACTTTGCTGTTCTAGTTTGTGTCGTAGAGATGGTCACAGGATGTGTGATAGCTTTTATTGGCTGTGAGGTGGGGTTGAGCAAGAGAAGTTTAAAGTATCATATTTTGTGTTAGGGTTGGTCATCCGTCAGGTCATTGTGAATCTTGCACAGTTTCATTTTCTTGATAACGAGATTTGCAAAGATGGTTGTCTTTGCACCATATACAGGGTGCAGAGTGTCCTGACACTACATGCAGTGTCAAGGGACGGAAGCATGATGATGGAGAAGGCCTAGGAGTCTGTTTAGGCCTGGCTCCTCCTCTCAGTAGGTAACTTGCTTGCCCTCCTCTGAGCTGCCACTTCTCTGATTAAAATTCCATATGTTCCCCCTTCCTGCCCTTGAGTGTGGCCTGCAGCACCCCACACAGCTCGCCCAGCGTCTCCCACAGCTGTTCTGTGTTGCTAGGAGACGGAGTGTACTTCAAGGGAGAGAGTTTAGTCTGGGAGCCGGGAGGCCCGGGTTAAGAACTTGGCATTGCTGTTCACCTCCCATCTGTGAACTCCCACAGAAGCATTCGCATGTCTGAGCTTCACTTTCTTCCTTTGTAAGAGGAGATGGCATTTCTTATCTCATAAGTCACTATGAGCACTAAATGGAGTGAGGTGGGTATAGTGCCCTCCAGGGTCTTTTTAAGTCCCAGTAAACATGCAGACTCACAGGACTTTCTTGCCTGCTTTCAAGCAGGGCGCACCAAGAATTCCTCTCAGCAGGGGCTCTGGGGCTGCTCTTGCACCTGTCTGGGGACCCACGTCTCCCTCTCTCACTTAGTTCCAGGTGCAAGGCACAAGTCTGCACCAGGGAGGTGGTAGAGCTGCCTGGCTTGGAGGACGCTGTGAGCCCCAAGCACCCGGTGTCTCTGGCTCTGGCTTAGACTGTGGGTTTCCCACTAGAGACTGTTCAAAACATCCAAAGCCTGGTGTACTTGCCGGACATTTAAGCTCATTAGTGGTCCCTCCCAGTTTACTAATCAGGGATCATTTTTACCTTAAGCGACGTTGCCTAGCAATAAGTCCAGACCTAAGATCTTACCTGGTTTCCAGGGTAACAGAGCTAGATGGTTAAACCAAAGGTCAGAATTCTCAAGCAGCAAGGGAAGAGGTTTGTTAACCCTCTAATCCCAGTATGCAGCAGCCCTAACCAGGGTATAGTTATTAAAATATGCTAGTTCACTTCTTTAACAAATGTTTGGGAGCTTTCACTGCTGTGTCAGACAGTAGGGCTACAGTGGGAGGGTAAGCAGGTAGGCACCTACCTCCGCACTCTGTCCCCCAGGCTGCCCCCAGGCTGCCCCCACCCCTACCCTTGTCTGGAGAGCTGCTCTCCTTCCAGGCTCAGATACCACATCTTTTCTGAAGCCCCCAGGCCGTCTGTTCTCCTGATCACTTTGTGTCTGTTGCCCTGAATTCATAGATTGTTTTGGGGACCTAGGAATTCCCTAAAATAATATGCAGATTTTGTGTGCTTATGGGAATGTATGTTTGAGGAGAGGGACTCACACTCTCATCAAATATTCAAAGAGATCTGTGCCACTCCACCTGCCCCCAGGAACTCAGAACTGTCACTCTGTCACTACAGATGGGCATTTATTACTTGTGGTTTCAGTATCTGTTTATAGGTCTACATTTCTTACTAGAGCATGAATACCTTAAGAGAAGGGACTGAATGTATTTGTGTTCCGTGCCAGCAGAATGCCTACTTAACGGCAGACTTTCAGGAAATGTGTTGAAAGAATTTCTTCTCAGGGCCCTTCCCAAGCTCAGCAGTTTGATGATGCCAGGGGCGCAGCCGTGTCCTAACTGGAAAACCTGTTCAAGAAGGAAAGGTTCTCTCTCATGTCAAACCAAAATCAGCCTTGTCTGTTCCTAGCTCTGCCTTCTGCAGTTCTAAATTGTCTACCCTCTTCTAAATTAATTGTTCTTTTATGAGACTCATAGTTGACTGGAGAATCAAAAATGGTTAGCATGGGGGAATTGTTAAAACATCGTATGTTCACGTTTTACTTATTTTAAGTTATAGCATCTAAAAGCACCTTAATTTATTAGTATTCTATTAGAAGGCAGAGCCTAGCAGATAACACCTTAACCAGATCAGCATCACCAGTGATTAGTCATTTTGGTAACAATATCTTCTGCTGTGATGTGATGAGATAGGCACCTCCCCTCTTTGAGATTCTTCCCCCAAACCACAAACCCCAGTCTAATCTTGAGACAGTATCAGATAAATTCAAGACAGGACTATTCTATGAAATACCTAGCTGGTATTCTTCAAAAATTACAAGGTCCTGAAACATGTGGAAATTCTAAGAAACTGTCACAGAGCAGAATAAACTAGAGAGCCATGATGACTAAATGCTGTCATGGATTGTTAAGTGCTGTCATGGGTTGCTAAGTGCTGTCATGGGTTGCTAAGTGCTGTCATGGGTTGCTAAGTGCTGTCATGGGTTGCTAAGTGCTTTCATGGGTTGCTAAGTGCTGTCATGGATTGCTAAGTGCTGTCATGGGTTGCTAAGTGCTGTC